AGGTTACAACTTTCTTAAATGGTTTGATAATCTATGCCTTACATTAAATCTTAAGTTGAAATATGATAAAAGAGAATAGTTTATATTGGTTTGTAATTGAAATTGGGTTTAGTTGATTATATCCTAGATTTCTTACCTCTTTTGATCATTCATTCTTAACTTTCTTTAAATTTTCCTTTCATTCTTAGTTGTTATTTCTCTGATTTTATTAATTCTATTTCTTGCCTGTATGATTTCAATTTATTCCTTTAATTCTTCCCTCGTCTCCTCTAAAAATTCAATTTATTACCCTTGCCATATAAATCAAAATAACCACTCATACAATCACACTTATTCTTTATTTCCTTAATTGTCACGCACCAAAATCATATAAGCAACCAAGCCTTTAATAATCTCTTAAAATCACTGTTCTTGTGGGATCGATATCTTTTATATACTATAACTGGGATTATTTGTTGCACCTTGCAATTTGGTACATAATTATGCTAGCGATCACCATGTTACTATTTTATCATTAGTTATTTATTTGACATATTTATTATTATTTTTTCTTTGTAAGAATTTTCTTCTTTTGACTTTTGGTTATGTAATCACTCATGTCAACTATTCTAGCATAGACAGAACCTCATTCTAAATGGACTTCAACTAATGTTTGCAAAACTGAAGTAATATTACTATTGTTACTATGGTATATATATATATATTTTTTCAGAGATAATCATGTCTACATTTTTTAAATAAAAAAAATATCATCTAAATCTGATATGATAAAATAAAATTGAGGTCAATCGAGTGACTAGCCGAAAGGAAGGGACTTACATCAGTCATAAATGTGAATATAAGGATAAATAGGAAAGTAATGGCATTGGCTATAATTGTATTATCAATAGCAAAACTATAATGTAAAGTTAAACCTATTCTGTGGGAGCCCAACTAATGGCTATTAAGCCATTGAAGGTTCCATATATACTTATATTTTATTAAAAAGGTATATAATCTATATAATGAACGTCGAATTTAATCAAATAGTAATATCATTGTTATGAGGAACATTACAAAGATGTTTAGAGACTAACATGTATGATATTAAGATTTCAGGACGAATATCTCTATAACCTATTTATATAAGCACACCCCTTTGTCACTATTCTGTTTATTTTTCTTCCTCGCTTATTTCCACCAATTTGATGTCACACTCGAAGAGAAATAGAATTTATGTCGGCGAGCGTCTTTCTTTCCACTCTATCTCTGCGATCTCATATTTTTTAATTAGTTTCTTTAATTCTCTTTTTAATAATTTATTGGGATCCATTTCATGCTTCATTCCCCTGTGGAGTTCTTGTTTAGATTCAATTTTAAATTATTATTTTACTTTTAATGTATTTTTGACATATTTATGGGTCAATATAATCACCAGACCGTTTAGGTCTTCCGGTCATTTCATATTTTGGAATTAAAACAGGTTTTATTTAGGAGAAATTTTTAAAAGATCATTTTAAAATATATTTTAGCAAATCGACTGTTTTACATAATAATTAACAATTGACTTATTTTTTCGCCCACACCATCAAAGGACTGGCAATTAAAGAGGTCAATGTTTGTATAAAAATCATTTTTAAAATACACGGAGACTAATAGTCCCGTGTCAATTAGAGAACATTAATCACAAAGTAAATTAAAGAGAAAAATACACGAGACTTACCACTCTTGCGTAATTTTGCAGGTCGAGAACCAGAAAATATATGCAGACTACTATATATGTCCTAATTATAATATAATTGCTCCAGGAAATAAGTTTATAATAGCAATTCCATTATATTGTTTGGGGTAAGAATTGATAGGACATTGCATCAAAAGATATTTTATATATTTAAAGTACACTAGCAAAAAATATATCATAATCTCCCTACTCTAATTTGCCCCAAGAAAATAATTATTCATACTTTCAGTTTTACTTCATATGGTACGGAGGAATGGGCTATAAATTGAATGAGAATATTAGATTAACATTAAATATGAGTAAAACCACAACTAAGTTAATATGAATATGAGTCAAAACAGGACAACTAAAGATTTAATTGGACATATTGCAAATAAATTCATATAAAAAATTCCTTGCCGATTGATGATCACACATCTTTTAAAGACTTCAAGATTCTAATTAAACAAAGATATTGTTACTACTAATCAATGGTGTTTATAACCGCCAAATAGTTTAATCATTGTCTGGCGACAGTCTGGATTGAAGGAAATAATATAAATATTTTATTTAAAGAGAGATTATTGTGGGACAATTATTTCGCCAAAAAAACTTTATTTTCCTCTTTTTTTTTATTTATTTTTTATTTAATTTAAATTAAACATGATATCTTGTTTACCACGTTTGATCTACTAATAAACAAAGATATTTTTATTCTATTTTAACATGCCACATGATATGTGATCACGTTATAGATGCAATCAGTGTACTATACATCTAATCAATCACTAAATGTATTTTTTATTCAAATATTGAATTTTTAGCTCTATGTCTAATATGTTTGATCCATTGTTACATTCAATAATTTAATTAAAAAATTTCTCTAAATAAAATTATAAATGTTATTTAAAAATTACCACGTGCATTGCACGTACAACCTGCTAACTAGTATATATATACTATATATATATATATATAATTAATATATATATATATATAATATATATATACTATATATATATATATATATATATATATATATATGTTTGTGGAAAATTTGTAGTAAATTGAAAGAAAATTATTGTATTTTCTTTTATCTCAGTTACAATTGGTATTTCCTGAATTACAAAAGGAGAGAGAATTGATTTGGGATTCTCCCATTTGTTAATCTGTTCTTCACGTTGGCGATGAATGCCTCCCCGACATGCTCGCGTCGAGTTATGCTTCTCGTTGACGATCTGACGTCTTGTTTCACTGAGAACATGATCTTCTCCTCACAGATTTGACGTGTGGAACTCTGAACGAGTTTAACTCTTAGAAAGAGTTGATTTAACGAAAAGTCGGTTATAGCCAAGGATGGAAGAAGATCTTGTTGCGATCTCCAAAGCTCCAAGCCGAATGATGAAGATCTCTTTTCGTGCCAAGAATTCCACCGACCCAACCTGAACTGAATTGATTTAGTTATTTATAGGGATTTAAGGGGTGTAGACCAATCTCCTTAATTCGCTGCCTAAGTGCGGCTAATGGATTTAACCGCCACTTAAATCACTCCTGAGTGAGGTTGTGATCCCCCTCAGATCGTAGGTGAAACGGGTTTTGAAACCGTTCAGCTCGTTTTGAACGAGTCAAACGCAAATCTGTGTTCTGATTGCGAATCTGCGTCAAACGCAATGCCTAAAAGCTTTGAACGCAACATCCGGAGCTCGGAGACGCCAGCGTTTGGAAGCTCACTTGCAGCGATTTTAAGAGCTGCCGTTTGTGGCAGCGATCTGAGCTGCTGTTTACAGCAATTTGGGAAGCTGCGTTTGTACGATTTAAAGAGCTGCCAGGTTCGGTGGCCGGATCTGGCGACTGCGTTTGTAGCTTTTGGCCAGCTCCGTTTGTTAACTTTAGAGTGCATTGAGCTGCGTTTCATGGCTATAAACGCCGACGCAATCTTTGATGCTCGTACGCGGGGACGGACTTTCACGTCTTGGATTTTGAAGAGACCGTCGATTTGTCAGTCTCCTTCGATCGAGTAGTTTTGCAAAGATAGTCATTTTGTAATCTTTACTTTAGCTCTTTTATATGCCAAGAGTCGTCAGGATTGTAACTCTCGAATCGTTTTGATTGTGAGGCTTGTTAAACTAGAGGCTCTTCGGTTTGTCCAGTGAGGTCAGTCAGATTGTAACCTTCAGCGATCTACGTGAAAGTCTTCGAATTGTAGCCTCTCTGGACAGTCGTCAGCTTTATTCCATCATCGGGTTTGATTGGGGATAACTATCTATTTGATTTTAGACAGCCGTACGAATATATATATATATAATATATAATATATGAAAATAGGGATGCTTGCGGTACAAGCCACAAAAAGTTACGCTTGGTAGTGAGGTGTCAAATCCCCACTTCCACTCATTTAAATATGCGGAACAAATTCACGATGGGGTACGTGACGGTTGGATAGGATGTGACACCATCGACTACCAAGCCCATAAAATTTGTGCTTGGTACCAAGCATACCCATACTCTGTCTCTCTCTCTAATACTATAATTTATTTATTATATATATATATATTATATATATATATATATATATATATATATATATATATATATACCAAAATTAGATCCACGGGGTCAGCTTGCTCGTGGTCCTTATGGATCAAGCGGGCTGCGTCCCGCATCTAGCCTGGGGCTTTGACCAAGCTTCATCCCGCAGCCCACGCCATCCCGACCAGGTAAAGCCCAAGCGGGTTGCTTGTTCGGCATCTGGCTGTGTGGTTGACCTGCTTGTCCTACGGCCCACCCGCCAACCAGGGCAAAGGCCAAGCCGAACCCCAAAGAGGGGGGCAGAGCAATGCGAATTTTGGTTGACCCGGCCCAGAGCCCACCCCTACAAGAACATACCATCCAATCATCTCTTTCGAATTTTGCATCAAAGCCATGATTTTGAAGACTACAGCCGAGCTGAGCCCTCGGAGAATTTTGTCAATATCCTTGGTAAGATTAGAACAACAGTTTACAACAATTTATAAGATATTAAGACAAAGCCAAATGAAAAGCTATTATATTCATCAGTAGTTTTGCACACAACCAAAATATTTACATTCCAACACCAGCTCAACACTCATCACCATCACCACTGAACAAATCTACGAAAAAGCGCATTGGAAAAGAACTTTTCAAAATGAAAAAAAAACAACCACAACGAAAAACAAAACCACATAACTAGACAAATGTTCTAAAAAATGACGCCAGGAATGAGCAAATTTCTTTATTTATATCATCAGAATCAAGAAACCTGGAGGGCTTTTCCATGCACCTTGGATTCCGCACCCTCGCACGCTGTTAACGTCTGATGGCTAGTAAACCGCTCTTCCGTTGCTATCGTACGGCCGCGCATACCCCGCGCTGTTATCGTACGCCCCCTGGCCCACCACAGGCGCAGCGTACCCGCGCTAATCTCAAACCGCGCGCCTGACCCTAACCCTCCGTTTTTTCCGTACGGCCGCCGTGAGTCTTTCGCAGTGCTTGCGGTGTCGCCTCCGACGAGTACACCGCCGCCGTTGTATCATACGTCGCCGTCGCCCTGCGTACGGGCCCCACCATCCTCTGCAGCGTAGTGTAGTAGGTCTTCCTGGGACGGCGTTTCGCAGGGGGAATCTCCCAGCGTTCGCGAACTAAGTACAGATCCCGTCGCCGCCCCATGAACGAAGAGAATCTCGTCGGCGAGCACGCTCACGATGATTGATTTGCCAGCTTACGCGCGGCGGTGCCTAGAGGGCGCGGCGAGCTGTGACGGCGCTGGACGGTGCCTTCTCTTGGACTGGAGGAGGAGCGTAGTAGTCAGCAGGGAGGATAAGACCTTGCTAGGTTTCATCGCCTCCCATTTGCGCCTGCATTGAGTTCATTTTGCTTGTTGTGCCTGCTGCTGCTGCTGCCAATTGCCTTGCCTGTTCTCAGCAATTCTGAAGCCTCTGCAGCTCCTTTAACTGCATCTGCGACTCCGCCGGCGACGGAACTACCGCCTTCACCTCCGATCTCGGCGGTGCCATCTCGATCCCCGGCCTTCTCCGTCGCCGATCCTTCAACCTCTCCGCCGCTCCAGACCAAAGAGGTAGTCCGCGCCCGTCCTCGGCGTAAACCGCGTCACCGCCGGCGGCGGGATCGGCAAAACTCGCCCGATCCTGGACTGCCCTTCCCCATCGCAGCAAAACAGGAACAACCTAAGCCTAGGATTCGGCTTCGATCCATCCGATGAAGGCGATCGTACTGATCAATTCAATGTGCTCAACGTCCTCATCGTTCGTAACCGAGATTCAAAGAGTCGAAGATCCTTCACCTGGAAGGCTTGATACTTGAAGGATGACGTCTCGGAACCTAGAGAGCCCTGAGAGTTTCCCATGATCTCGAGTACCGAACCGCAGTCGCCTCAACGGCGAGGATCTGGTGTCGCCGCCGCGTAGGAGAGGCTGCGTTGTCTGTGAGCGCGAGGCTGGAATGCCGACCGCCGTAGCCTGCACAGGAGCTTGACACGTGGATGAGACAGAGGCGGTGCTCGTCCCAGGCCGCGGCGGCGACAGCGACGGCGACTGCGGGGTCACACTCGATCTCACGGGAACGAGGGGACGAGTCGCCGGATTCGGGGTACGACGAGTAGGCGTAGTTCTCCATCGAATACTAGGGTTAGGGTTTTGAGATATTTATGGTAATTTTCTTTCGAATTTTTGGGGAATTTTTTTTGTTGGTGATGATAGAGATGGAGAAGGAAAGCTCGAAGCTGTGATTTATACAGCGGCGATGGCTTCTGATTTAGGATCTGCTGCGACTGGTCGTACCATTTCTTTTGTTCATCTGGACACGCGTCATCTCCGTGGACGTTGCTGATGACTTGTTTATGGTGGTATTTGCAGGGGATTTGGCTAGGATACGGGGACTGGTGCCAGGTGGAGACGGGGCTGGTGGGGCCCTAGGAGGGACTTTCCACGATGAGCGGTATCGTGGTCCTGCGAATAGTACTGAAAGTAGGAAATCTTGGTGGGGGGTGAGGAATTGGTTGCAATATTTCGGGTTATGTTGTGCCGGCGGTGCATCGGAACGGATACCAAAAGAGAAGAGACTGCGCATAGCATGGCCATGACTAATGAGGATCCCATGTGACGGCCAGCTGGTAAATTTGTACCGAAAACAATATAATAATAGGGGATTTCCTGCTTACAATTGATCGCATCGAGGTGGATGTGCCACGTGGATCACAAGTGGATGCCAGCTGGGATTTCATAACCCCCAATTTGTTTACTACGGGTAAATCACTCTTATGAGTAAGCATACACTACTTTTGATTAATGCACTGATAGTATTTATATACCCAAGTTAGCATTTATATATTTCCAGTTGTTTTTAGCTTACTTATACACCCTAAAATTTATTAAAAAATTTTACTTTAATGCCTTCAGTTATGTAAACATGAAAATCTCTCCCCAAAATTCTCAAGCAATAATTACATGCTAATTTTACAATATTTTAACTTTTAATATACGTTAAATTTATCGTTAAAACTAACGCCATGCTATTTTAAATTTTCCCTAATTTTTTTTTTTTCAAAATGGAATTACTTGTAGTATGTCTAATAAAAAACCACCTATGTAAGTTATCATCCATGAAAAAACAAATTCCTTTATTTCTTGCAACAACAGCTCTTTACCCTTTTACTTACTTGAAGTTTATGTCAGACATAGTTTTTGGTATGGTGAGCTTGCAATAAGCTAGCTATATATAAATGTGATGTAGTTGGACTTTATACCAAAGAAAGGTCCGAATTTTAAATCTTAAGCTAACTATTCTTTACTTTTCTGTAATTTGAACCTATTGGTCTCTTCCCCTTCACTCCCAAGGTGAAAAAGAAAAATTCCTCAAGGACCCAAAATATGGGACCAATAGAGGGGACAAGTGAGTTGTCTCCCACCTATTGGATAATGAGTTGGTCATCATTAATGATGGCCAACTCATTATCCAATAGGAGGGAGACATCTCACTTGTCTCCTCTATTGGTCTCATATTTTGGGTCCCTGTAGCAAAGCTCGGTGGAAAAGTATCAAAATCAAGTTTTCTTTTGAAAGTTTTGTTAATTTATTTATTGCTGAAGTTTGAAATATTGCAACATGACGCTTAATTATCAAATAAAAATAGGGTCGCATCATGCACTAATTCCTTCCAAATTAAGTATAATCTTGTTTAAGAAAAGCATTGCTTACTCCGTCGTCTTTTATCTTATTTGACTAATAACAGAAAATTATAGGACAGTTAAGTTTCTATATTTTAATTTTCCATGTCCTTTCGTTCCTTCATTCTCAGCACCATTGCATCCATCATACAATTCCCAACCCTTCACGCAAATTTAACTTACTTGCTTTTATTTTATCTTTTTTGATATAGTGGCAAATGATTATGCGTACATTAAGTTTTCCACAATTTGATTATTTTATCAACTCTCAACGACTAAGGATCACATTTGGATTGAGGTATGATAAATTATATGTTCTTGCATCTTATTGTATCTTATTATTTTTTTTTTTTAGCGTAAGGAGGGGTTAGTCACCTAAAACTTAAAATTAAAATTGGGATATTTTGTGGGATAAATTTTTAAGGTGTTAGTCACATAAAACTAAAATTAGAACAAAATTTTACCGTGTTAGTCAAGTAGAACTCTAACAAAACTAGAATTGGGGTAATGGTACAAAATTATCCTACTTTTTTTTATTTTTCTATACAAAAATGAGAGTTCTAGTCTCTCAAATTATTTCAAGTTTTTGCTTGGAACTAGGTGGTAAAAAACTGGAACTTGTTGAAATCTAAAAGTCATTTTGTGGAAACCTAAAAGATAAAATGAATGTGGACATTACATTGAATGTGGAATATTAATTAGTGACTTTTCATTAATCCAAATGTCCTTTGGACATTACATTGAATGTGGAATATTAATTAGTGACTTTTCATTAATCCAAATGTCCTTTTATTTTCCACAATGTATCTATAAATTGGACCACATTAATTAGTGACTTTTCATTAATCCAAATGTCCTTTTATTTTCCACAATGTATCTATAAATTGGACCACGTATGGAAAAAGTATGATGAATAAAAATGATTACAATTTCTCTTCTTCTCTTGTCTCTTATCTATCTCTTGTTTCATTTCTTTAGTATATTACAACACGTTATCAGCACGAACTCTAACCAACTGAATATGTTTTTGATGCCATCAACGACTCCCAAATCCCCAATCACTGATCGAAGATAGATCCGGCAAGCGTCGGGCCTCGTGTTCGAATTGCTGTATGGTGCGGTTCCTGTAGTTGGCGCCATCTGGATTGTTCTGTAAGTATCTGTATTTTTAAAACCTTTCGAGTTCATTGATAGCGTGAATAATTTTTTTGAGTTAGTGAATATTCTTAGTTTATGATGCTATGATCTGAACTCAAATAAGTCTATATTTGAAGATTCCATCGACTATCGACACGAAAAGATCTATTGACCTGTGTGAACTATAAAAAAATCCTAGAGCACTAACTAATAAAGATTAATACTTGATACTGCTCAATTGGATAAATTTATAGTAAAGAAGCTTACTTTCTTGGGTAAGTTGAAAATATAAAATTTTGGATATATTTGACGGGCTATTTTATAGTATTTGTTCAACTTAGTAGTTCTATGATTGATATTGCTTATGTTCTAATTTTCTCCTGGCGGTGATTGTCCCCGTATAGTTAAATGTCTACTATGCTTGTTGTGCCTAATCCGAGGTGGATATATACCGAATTAGATGGTCTACTGCTACAACCTCTTGTAGCTGTTATCTTGGTCCTCAACTAATTTTTGTCAAATGAAACCATCTAATTAATTATTGCTTTCAGCAACCTTTTTCGCTCTCTTACCCTCTTACTTTAATTCAAAGTTTAAACATATTTTGAAGTTTGTTATCTTCTGTTTTGTTCTAACTTTCTTGCTTGATACCCATGTAATTGGTTAAGCTGCATAATAATTTAAGCTGCATAAGAGAAAAACATAAAAAGGAAGAGGATGCATTACAGAATTCTTTTAATTTCTTATTACCAACTCTGTGCATGGCACATTTATATCGGAAAAAGGAATATTTTTTTTACTTTGTCTTGGTTGACGTGAGATGGAGTTGTTAAGATAGGTTGATGTAAATTGTTTTCAAACAAAACCATCTTTTAGATGAAGTGGTTACTCTCAGCTCTTATTGCATTTTAAGGTGAAAAAGCAATGACTAGAAGCTCTTATATTATCTGCTGTTTCTCAAAAGTTTGAGTTTTTTTATTGCTAAGAGATAGCACAAATATCATATAGGATTGCATGATTTGCAGGAGATAGTTGCATGAGTATGACCTGAGAAATCACAGTGCCTCTATGCCTTATACAATATTAGTTTCTATTCAAAATTGCCTTAGTGGTGTTTTGAATATGGCAACTT